CAAGACTCAGCAGTCCATCTGCATCTTAAGGATAAAGGACACTCTTTCGAGGATGCCAATGTTCACATTTTGGACAGAGGACAGATGGTTTAAAAGAGGAGTGAAAGCAGTCATCTATGTCCACTGTGAGCAACCATCTTTGAAGAGAGGCGGTGGTTTACGACACCAACTCTCTGCCATCTATAATCCAGTTTTGAGATCCTTCCCAGACGCCTTAACGCCCACTCAGATCCTGGGCCATCTGACCTCAGGAATTCGCATGATAAGGTGGAGCCAGGTTTCACAATCAGCTCACCCGAAACTCTGGCTGATTGGACCCACACCCAGTTTCACACCCTAGCTCAGGTGATTAGAGGATCATCAGGGGGTCCTTTTGTCCCTCTGTGGGGGGTTACTCCCACTAGGTTTATATCTGGGACTCTCCACCATTTGACCTTAGAACTGAAGAAGCTTCTCGGATGAGAGGTGAAACATCTTCAAGCAACTTAAAGAAGTCCAGACGCTTTTCTTTGCAAGCTCCTTTGACTACGATGACCTGGATGACTGAGAACCTTCACAGACAATCTCTAGCTCTCTTCGCCAGCATGTCTTTATCCTGTCTTCCTTCTCTCACTCCAACCGGTCACAGCACCCCAACCATACCCAGAGATACCTAAACACCTTCATTTTGGGCAGCAACTTTTCCCTGACCTGGAGTGAGTATTCCACCTTTTTCTGGCTAAAGACCAGGCTGGAAACCACCACCTGATCAAGCCAGCAGAACCACATCGTCTGCAAAACATAGAGATAAGATTCTGAGCCCATCAAAGTCAAAGCCTGCTGCCATCTGGCATGTCTAGAAATTCCGTCAATAAAAACTGGCAACACAGTTTAGCCTAACTCTAACACATTTTCACAAAGAACCTCCAACAGGATACTTCGAGGGACGTCATTGAATGCCTTCTCCAGGTTCACAATACACATGTAGATTGGCTGGGAAAACTCCCAGACACCCTCAAATGTCATTGAGAGGATAAAGAGCTGGTCCAGTGTTCCATGACCAGAAAAAACCCCATATTGTTTCTCCCATATCTGAGGCACTAATGGATGAACTCCTCTTTCCAATCCCATGACATAGACCTTGCCACAGAGTCTGACAAGTGTGATTCCCTTGTAGCTGGAGCACACCCTCTGCTGAAGTCCCACAGGCTAACCAAGCCCAACAGGACTTCTTCAGCTGGATAGCTGTCTTCACCTTCAGTGTCCACCATCTATTTTGGGGATTACCACACGACAGGCACCAACTACCTTGCAACTGCAGTGCCTTGCAAAACTCCAGGTGTTGATCAGTTGACAACTCAGCTCCTACTCTTCACCTGAATGTTCAGAACATGTGGCCACAGATTTGATGATATGGTTACCAAATCAATCATAAGATAAGATAAGATAAGATAACCTTTATTAGTCCCACATATGGGAAATTTTGTCAAGGGTCATATACCTGTGACCTGTGACCTAGCTAAAACTAACAGTTTTGGCAGTATATCACTCTGGTGTGTCATTCAGGCAGACATACCACTCTAGGTAGTGAATAAACACTTGATGAATTGTACCAGCATGCCCGACACAACTTTCCTGTTGATAATCTTGGCCATCATAATAAATTGAAATGAAAAGAAAAAGCAGAGTGAAAAAGGCAAGTTAAGTGATACGACACTTGATTCTTGATCATGGATTTTCTGTACAGTATCTACTCATTTGATTTGAGATATTAGGTAGACAGGCATGCTCTGTAGAGGTTTTTAAAACTAAGCTGAAGACATATTTGTTCACCCTATCTTACATGTCTTGATTCTATGCCTTCTAGTTTTTAAATTCTTACTGTTTTTAACTTGTATTGTGTTTTTTACTTGTATTGATATGTATCGCTTTTATTTATTTATCTTTTTAGTTTCAAATAGCTGTACAGCACTTTGTTTGAAAGCGCTGTATAAATAAAGTTAGTATTATTATTTAATATTTTTTTCTTCTTTCAGAGATTCAGAGATTATGTCAGCACAAGTTCAAGTCAAATCTGAAGAAGAGGTTACAGTGTGTGTTTGAGGGGATTGCTAAAGCAGGAAACAAAACAATTCTGAATCAGATCTACACAGAGCTCTACATCATAGAGGGAGGGACTGCAGAGGTCAGTAATAAACATGAAGTCACTCAGATTGAAACAGCATCCAGGAAACTAGACAGACCAGAAGCAACAATTAGACAGGAAGCCATCTTTAGAGCCTCACCTGGAAGAGATGAACCAATCAGAACAGTGCTGACAATGGGAGTGGCTGGCATTGGGAAAACAGTCTTAGCACACAAGTTCACTCTGGACTGGGCTGAAGGAAAAACAAACCAGGACATCCAGTTCATGTTTCCATTCACTTTCAGAGAGTTGAATGTGCTGAAAGAGGAAAAGTTCAGCTTGGTGGAACTTGTTCATCACTTCTTTACTGAAACCAAAGAAGCAGGAATCTGCAGCTTTGAAGACTTCAAGGTTGTGTTCATCTTTGATGGTCTGGATGAGTGTCGACTTCCTCTGGACTTCAACAAAACTAAAATCCTGACTGATGTTACTGAGTCCACCTCAGTGAATGTGCTACTGACCAACCTCATCAGGGGGAAATTGCTTCCCTCTGCTCACCTATGGATAACCACAAGACCTGCAGCAGCCAATCAGATCCCTTCTGACTGTGTTTGTATGGTGACAGAGATCAGAGGGTTTACTGACCCACAAAAGGAGGAGTACTTCAGGAAGAGATTCAGAGATAGGGAGCAGGCTGGCAGGATCATCTCCCACATTGAGACATCACAAAGCCTCCACACAATGTGCCACATCCCAGTCTTCTGCTGGATCACTGCTGCAGTTCTGGAGAATTTCCTGAAAACCAGTGAGGGTAGAGATTTACCCAAGACTTTAACTGATATGTACAGCCACTTCCTGGTGCTACAAGCCAAAGGGAAGAAGGGCAAGTCTAATGGCGGAGCTGACAGAGATTCATGGTGGAGTCCCGAAATCAAGAAGATGATTGAGTATCTGGGAAAACTTGCCTTTGATCAGCTTCAGAAAGGAAACCTGATCTTCTATGAATCAGACCTGACAGAGTGTGGCATCGATATCAGTGATGCTTCAGTGTACTCAGGAATGTTCTCACACATATTTAAAGAGGAGAGAGGACTGTACCAGGACAAGGTGTTCTTCTTCATCCATCTGAGTGTTCAGGAGTTTCTGGCTGCTCTTTATGTCCATCTGACCTTCATCAACTCTGGAGTCAACCTGCTTAAAGAAAAAACATATCAGTTGTCTAAAGTTTTCAGAAACAAACATACAGTTAAACAGTTTTACAAGAGTGCTGTGAAGAAGGCCTTACAGAGTCCAAATGGACACCTGGACTTGTTCCTCCGTTTCCTCCTGGGTCTTTCAATGCTGAACAATGAGAGTCCCTCACAAGGCCTGCTGACACAGATAGGAAGTATCTCACAGAATAATCAGGAAATAGTCCAGTACATCAAGAAGAAGATCAATGAGAACCTGTCTGCAGAGAAATGCATCAATCTGTTCCACTGTCTGAACGAACTCAGTGATTGTTCTCTAGTGGAGGAGATCCAACAGTCCCTGAGATCAGGAAGTCTCTCCACAAATAAACTGTCTCCTGCTCAGTGGTCAGCTCTGGTCTTCATCTTACTGTCATCAGAAAAAGATCTGAATGAGTTTGACCTGAAAAAATACTCTGACTCAAATTCAGAGGAGGCTCTTCTGAGGCTGCTTCCAGTTGCCAAAGCCTCCAAGAAAGTGCTGTAGGTGGAGTTATTAATAATTTATTTAAGTTTAAGTTAAGTTCCTAAAAAGTAAGAATTATTTCTAAGTCTGTGTATATTATTGCTTTTCTTTCTTAGGCTGAGGGGTTGTAACCTCTCAGAGAGAAGCTGTGAAGCTCTAGCCACAATCCTCAGCTCCCCATCCAGTAATGTAAAAGAGCTTGACCTGAGTGAAACCAGTTTGCCAGATTCAGGGATGAAGCTACTTTCCTCTGGACTGATGAGTACACACTGTACTTTAGGCAGTCTCAGGTAAGATCTTAAACACTGCAGATTTGTGTAATTTCTTTCATGTCATCTTTCTTGCTCAATGTCAAGGACACCATCACGACATCATAAATTTTTGTGTATAGTCCATATATCAGTGTCCATACATGGATGTATCATGACAAACATTTGCAACAGATATTTTTTTTACTGCTCATCAGATGAATTTTTAAAATGAATAATTTATATCTAACAAATCATGTAATATTAAGCACACTCACAAAATGTGCACACAATTTAGACATCAGAAATCAGTACTTTTGATTTATCCAACACAGGGAGGGTTCATGTTAATGTCAGTGGAACTAAGTGTACTATTTTTCATTCAGTTTAAGGAGTTGCAATTTGTCAGAAATCAGCTGTAATTCTCTGGGCTCAGCTCTGAAGTCCAACTCCTCATATCTGAAAGAGCTGGAGCTGAGTTCCAATGACCTACGGGATTCAAGAGTGGAGAAACTCTGTGGTTTTCTGGAGAGTCAGAAATGCAGACTGGAGACTCTGAGGTCAGACACCTTGTTTTAGCTGAGCACTGAGATGAATATAATGTAACAATGCTTTACCTGATAGATGTCATCAGCAGTGTTGGTCAAGTTACTTGAAAAAAGTAATCAGTAACTAATTACTGATTACTTCCCCTAAAAAGTAATCCCATTACTTTACTGATTACTTATTTTCAAAAATAATTAATTACTTCGTTACTTAGTTACTTTTTAAAAACACGATTTACAACCTGAAGAGGTGATAAAGCGATAGATCTTTCAGCCCAATTCTATTTTTTCTGCATAATCCATCATACAAAATGTAATCAAATGGAAAAGTCCCTTTTTAAAACTTGTTTTATCAGTTTTAATCTTTTAACTTTATGCATCAAGCAAAAATTAAATTATATGCAACAGAATTCACATTCTGAACTGGAATACATGTCTACAAATGGCTTTTATTAGAACTTCTACTGAATGTGGGGATGTGAAAATTATATTTTAGCATGATCATGTGTCCAAGTTCTCACCAAGTAAATTTCATGCCAGCAAACACCTACTCTGAGGAAACTCACTCTTTCAATTAGATGCAAGTAAAACACAGCAGAAAATAAATAAAATCAAAGACTAGCGGTCCTTTTGCTCTATTTTCACCTGTAAAGCAGGAGTGGGGTAGGCGGAGGTTTACCCTGGTGCAGGTGTGCCGCAGCGGTCAGTGGAAGAATCCACGAGTTTCTCTGTGAATTTCCCATTACGTCGTAGCGCACTCGGTGCTTGCTTGGCCGTTTAGGGTTTTTTTTCACTGTAAAAATAAGTTTTCTTCCAACGCACAACAGACACTAATGTTTTTGTCACTTTTTATGGAATCAAACTCAAAGTAAGGTCCGTACTTCCACGCTTTAAACGCTGCATGCTCATGCTCTCTCCCGCACTCGATATATTATCCATTGTTGATCTGCACACAGCTGTTGTCACGAACGTCGCACTCGCTTACGTCACTGTCATGAGACATTCTCGCAAAAAATCACGGTTTTAGTAACGCAGTAACGCAGCTTTCCTACGGGAAAGTAACGGTAATCTAATTACCGTTTTTGCAATAGTAATCCCTTACTTTACTTGTTACTTGAAAAAAGTAATTGAATTACAGTAACGCGTTACAAGTGACGCGTTACAAGTGACGCGTTACAAGTAACGCGTTACTGCCCATCTCTGCTTGTCAGTACTCTTGCTGAAGCATTTTGGATTAACTGAAGGCTTTTCAGGGAGTTTCTAGGACATCCTGATAATAATGAATTACAGTACTCGAGCTTACAAGTGAAAGAAAATTTAAAAACTCCAAAATACTCCAACACAATATGCTGTGAAATACATTGACTTAATGTGAGTAGTGAGTAGAGTTTCTCAAATACAAGTAAAGTCATCATATTTCCTTTGTTCGAAAACAGCTAGACTTCAGCATTTTTATTTTTTACAGATCGATTATGGAGCACTAAATGATTTCAAACATTAAACGTTGTTTAATAAACTAACATCTTTATTTATATACAGTTTATGGAACTGCTGCTTGTCAGAGATCAGCTGTGCTCTTCTGGGCTCAGCTCTGAAGTCTAATCCTGCACATCTGAGGGAGCTGGACCTGAGTAAAAACTATCTGCAGGATCAAGGAGTGAATCAACTGTGTGGTTTTCTGGAGAGTCCACATTGTAGACTGGAGACTCTGAGGTCAGACACTGTGTATTAGCTGTGCTGAGATGAATATGTTTTGTGTGTGTGTGTGTAGACGTTCAATTTACAGGAGAAAAAAATCTTTACAATCTTTTTTGGAAATCAAAAAACTTTGTTAATAGTTTAAGAAGCTGTTATACAATTTGGGTTTTGCAGTATTTTAGTTATTAAATTTATGCGATGCTTCTGTTTTCTAGTTGATATGCAGAAAACAACCCTAGAGACCAACTTTAAAAGAAATGCATAAGTCAGCAGTGTGGTATTTACCAAGGAGATGCCTTGTCCCCACTGTTGTCATGCATACAGGGAGTGCAGAATTATTAGGCAAATGAGTATTTTGTCCACATCATCCTCTTCATGCATGTTGTCTTACTCCAAGCTGTATAGGCTCGAACGCCTACTACCAATTAAGCATATTAGGTGATGTGCATCTCTTTAATGAGAAGGGGTGTGGTCTAATGACATCAACACCCTATATCAGGTGTGCA